TTGATTTTTATACCTGTCATTTTGATTTATTTCTAATGCTTAATTCAGACTTCTCCTTTAGTTAAGTATTCTTCTAGTGCAATTTATCTCTATTCTGGTTTTCACTTTTATCTTTCATTTCTTCTGCATGAAATATTTCATTAAGTATGTTTTATAGTACAGGCATAATGTTTGTAAATTCTTTTATTTTTCTATTTATCATGAAAGGTTTTTATTTCATCTTCAATTTGGACAGAGAATTTTGCTGGATATAATAATTTTGGTTAGTACTCATTTTCTTTCAGAGCATGGTATATATTGTTCCTGAAAGGAAAGTGACCACAACACTCGGAGCAACCAAGAGATCTTTATTGCAGCAGTGAGAAAGAGGAGAAGAGAAAGAAGGAGAGAGAGAGAAAGAGAGCAGGGAAAGACAGGAGGCGGGGTGAGAGAGAGTGAGAGATAGAGCAATAGTGAGAGAGAGAGAGAGAGAGAGAGAGAGAGAGAGAGAGAGAGAAAGAGAATGCACGAGAGAGAGGGAGCCCGCAGGAGGGAGTTTTTATAGCCAAAATCTAATGGGGTCTTTGGGTCTGCAAGCTGCCTTGTTGGCATACAGGTGTCATCTTCTGCCTTCAGGCAAATGGGGCAGGGGTCAGATGTGAGTTTCTGTTGCACCAGACAGGTGGGGGTCGAGTATTTAGCCTTGAGTGGGGTTGAGTGTTCTGAGGTGATAAAGGACCAGACTGAGGGGGGTTTGAGTGCCTGGGTTATCCTGCAGCTAACATTTATTCAGCCTGCCCTGTAGACAACTTAGTTTAGCCTGCCCTGCACCTAACAATTCCAAGCACTCCTGGCTTTTAGGGTCTGGGTTGAGGAACCATTTGAAGTCTGAGTTGGTTTACCTCTAAATGTGACCTGCCATTTTTCTCTTGTGGCTTTTAAAATTTCTATCCTCATTCTTATATTAGACATTTTCATTTATAATGCATCCTGGAGAGGACTTTAAAAAAAACACCTTGCCTATTTTCAAGATCATATACTTTATCTTTATGGCCTGAAAAATCTATCTTCAAGGTGGTCTAATATATTGGTGATGGTTTTCATTGAATTTTTACTTTGATTGAGTCTTTCATTTCCAGGATTTCCATTTGGTTCTTTATCATAATCTCTTATCTATTGTGTAAATGATCTTTCAGTTTTTGTATTTTCTAGTTCATTCTTTACTTCTTTTTTGGCTTGCAGAACATTTTAATGTTGAACTTTCTAAATGGTTTCTCAGATATTTCCTCCACTGTAGTGTGAATGGGGTTAGTTGCAGAAGTGTTATGGGTTGATTGGTTTTCTCTCTTGCTTTTTCATATTGCTTATATATCTACCCATCTTTGGGGATGATTATTACTCCTTCTTTTATGCAAGGGACTATTTAGTGAGCTTCTTTCTCTTAAGAGCCTCAGGCTAGGTGAATATTCCAGGTATTTGTCATCTGCTTTTCTCTGTATCAGTACTACTTTGTGACAAAACACTAAACCCTATTTACTGCAATTACTTCAGAGAAAAGCCATGTAATATTCAACCTTAGAGGAGGAAAATCTTGTTGAAACTGTTCTCCACAGTTCCTCTAATCCAGGTATAAACTTGTAGTAAAAATCTGAAATAGGTTGAAACATTAACTATTAAATATAATCAAATTTCTATAACATTATATAGGGGCTGAAAGGAGGCGGGAAGAAAAAATGGGCAAAAGAAGAGAGAAAAAAAGAATAGATACAACAGAAAAGAATCGTATGCACCAAGGTAGAAAGACAAAAAAAAAAAAAAAATGGGTTTGCAGGGGTGCTTAAGACAATAGCAGATAATATAAGAGGGGAAAGAAGGGGTAAGGGGGCAAATGTAAACCTGAACTAGGAAAACAAAAATAGAATGATTCCAATTAGTGCTTTAAAACATTAGAAGAAATATAAAATCAAGTGGGTTGAGGGCACAATATTAAATATTAGCATAACAACTATCAAATCAAAATAGAGAGTGACATATATCAAAGTTGATGTTAGAGCTATTTATAGTAAACCATGCTGAGGTGAAGAAAATTCTTTTTGAGTCTTGGTTTGGATTTTCTCAGGTTTTGAGACCTTTAGAAGATATCTAAATGGCATTAGAGCAGATAAGTTCGCCAATCCCAAAAAAACAAATGCCGAATGTCTTATCTTATATAAGGGGGGGGGGTGACTCAAAAAGGGGTAGGAAGGAAGAGCATGAGAAGAAGATTACCCCTAGATAGGGAAGAGATGTGGGAGGGAAAGGGAGGGAGAAGGGGAATTGCATGGAAAATGGAAGGAGACCCTCATCGTTATATAGAATGCATGTATGACGATGTTAGGGAAAGAAAAACAAAAGAAGTGTGTCACATTAGTTTGGGTAGAGGGAAGTGATGGGAGAGGAGGGGAGGGAAAGGGGGGATAGGAAGGGCAGCAGAATAAAATAGACATTATTGCTGTGGGTATATATGTGACTGCATGACCAATGTGATTCTTCAACCTGTACACTCAGAAAAATATATCCCATCTGATTCAAATGTCACGATCATTGTACTGTCATGAGTAACTAATTAAAACAAATTAAAAAATTATAAAAAAAGAAGATATCTATTACTCTTTGACTTTGGATCCCTCAGAGGTGCTAAGGCCCTAGTTGCTCTGGACCTCCCCCAGCTGGTTCTTGTTTGTCAGCCCAGGGGCCTGAGACTGGACTCTGGAAGGTTGCTGTTCTGGGTCTGCTGGCTGTTTCTGTTTTGTACTGGAGCTCAGAAATACAGGGCTGAGGCCTGTAGCTGTGACAACCGCAGGTTACTCTGCACCCACTCCCCTCTACAGGGTCCTCTTCAAAGTGGCATAGAGCCAGTGTCTCTCTGCAAGCATGAAACCTTGATTGTGGGTTCTCTGTGGTGCACAAGCATTCTCCTAACTGACACAGATTGCCAGGGCACTGTCCCTGCTACCAGGAAAGAGATTCAACTAGTTTGCCTGAGTTTTGAGTTATCACTGCCTAGAGTTGTAAACCATGGGCATTGCATCCCTTGGCTGACTAGGACAGAGACAACTATCTTGTCTGTGTCCAAGGTCTCATGGGTTGCAGCTGCAAATCCTTGGTGCCATCCTTCTCTGCTGTCTTAGATGGTGACTGCTCCCACCAGCCTGCTTCTGAACTCTCATTTCCTACTACTATGAATCTGTCTGCTCCATCTCTGCCCTCCCATAGAGTCTGTGCAGATGCAGAGCACTGGGTCAGGGCCAGCCCCTCCCAAGTTTCCTGCTCAGGTTACTCCAGCCCACTCCCCTTGTTGGCAGTAAGGGGGAGGAGTTTCAGCAACTTTCAACTAATCCCTTTACAAGTTCCTTCTAGATGGATTATTGAGACATCTGACTGCAGGAGTATTCCCTCTGGTTTCATTACTCCCTTCAAGTGGGGAGATGCCATGTTGATTTAACTTCTTCTTGAGAGGCTGACAAGCTGTGGACTCCATAAAATGACTGCTATGCCCTGCACAGTTTTCAGTTCATAATTTGGCTTAAACTACTTGATGTTTAATGACCCAGACACTGCTCTGGTTGTGTTTTAACTTGGTCTGTTTCCCCACTGCCCCCCTCCAGCCCGTGAGACCTGGACACAGACAAGATGTTTTTTAGGGAGTGAGATTATGTGCTTTTCCTCTCCTTTGGTCTCGGTTTCTGCCCTCCCCCCCAACACTGGTCCAGGTTCAGGGTCAAGGAGCTCTGCCCTTATTTTTTGCTATGGTAACCGAACGTCAAGTTTCTCCAGGTCTAGTCTAATGTTGGGTCTTCTAGCAATTATATCACCTACATCTCTGGTCAGCTGTTCCTTCATTGCCCCTTTCTGTGCTGTGGAGGGGGTCAGGGGTCACCACCAAGCTCTGCTCTACCTTCTTGAATCCAGAATAGTATTATCTTTAAGGAGAAGGTATGAGGTATCCTTGGGGTGCTAGAATGTCTTTTTCCCCCCTTTTTGCTGTGCTGGGAATTAAACCCAAGGCCTCCTGCATGCTAGGTTAGAGTGCCATACTACTGAGCTGTACCATTCCTAGTCCACAATGTCTTGATATAGGTGTTGAGTCTCGTTGAAATTGCTATATATTTTAAAAATTATTTTTTATGCTTTATTGGACAAGTCCCTAGGGAAGTATGCTTATAAAATACAAACTCAAGACATAAATTATATTTAAAATACTTCCTTGAATACAAAATACATAGTTTTAATTTTTATACCATAAAGATCAGCTTATATTTACATTTGCTTGCCTAATGACATGATGTACTAGCATTTACTCTTTGAGGTGGCTATACTTAGGAGAATGCCCTGTGGTCACAATGTTTTCATCTTGTGCTTTCTTTTCTCATCTTCTCAAATGTCAAGAGCAAGCTGTTCTTCTAGGCAGGATAAAACCAGCTTTTTGGTATCTGCAAATGCCACCATTTCCAGGGCTTGACAAACTACACTACAGGGGGGTTTCAATCTATTCCTTTGTACTAGTGTTTTGTTTCTTTCTTCTTCTCTTTTTTGTTTTTTGGTACCTAAGTTGCTTAGGGCCTTGCTAAGTTGCTGAGGCTGGCTTTGAACTTGCCATCCTCCTGCCTCAGCCTCTTGAGTTGCTGGGATTGTAGGTGTGTGCCATTGCACTTGGCAAGTGTTTTCATTTTTATCATGCCAGGGTCATTCAAAAGTAGTACAGAGAGGTTTTTTATTATGTATGTATATATGTATGCACTGGGGATTGAACCCCTACACTTGAGCTATACCTGAGCCTAGAAAGTTCTTTTTTATGCTGAGAACATCCTGAGGTTTTTACCAGGTGATTTCTTGTTTCTTTACTGAGCAATATTCCCTAGGTCCACAATAAAGGAAACATAATCATTGTACCTTATCAAAAAGAACAAATTTAATAAGAGCTTATGCAGCATGTTTATCATTTAACCATAATATGATTAACACATGGCAGAAAAGGCCTCTTGGGTTTAAAAATAGCTTTATTTAGCATACTAAAAACACAGAAACATAAGAAAACCCCTACCTAGTATAAACATAAAAATAGTTAAATACCATAATTTAATGTAAACCAAGCATTTAAAAATGTGAAATGTTAGAATAAAATACATGCTATTTACATAGAACCAAGTTAAAGCTACCTCCACAGTTATTGGATCAAATCAGTCTTGAAGAAGTCATCATTAGCAATGTAATAAACACAACATCTCCATTTGCATTGGTCAATAGGCAAAGAATAAATCATTTTATTTCCTTTAAACAAATATGATTTATTGTGACTTTTAGAGCAGGGAAGCAAAAAGTGCCAGTTCCAGGAATCCAGACACAACCACTGCATGTGGAGGTTTGTAAAGCATTCCGCTGGAAGACCATTGAGTCCATTCTTTAATTTCAATACAAACTAGTTGATTCACCTTAGTTACTGCTTAAGAAAGGTACTAAATACATTCTGCAAAAATAAACCTTTGTTAAAAATGATCAAAGGCAAATGCAATATCAATCAGATAAGAAAGGCAAAAGCATAAAAATATATATTATTCCAGACAAGCCCCTTAATTATAATAAATGTTAAGAAACTCAGTTTATAAAACCAGATGGGGTAGCAAAAGGGATTTTAAAAATATAAAACCCAAACCATATTCAAACAAAACAAACCTAAGATAATGTTTCATGAAGAAAGTGGTATCTTGTTTATTCACTCATCATTATGTGAAAGCTGCCATGAGATTTTGTGGCTGATGGAGCTATTACTATGGAGTAGGTTTTCTTTAACCAACATTCTAAAAAGCTGTAGTTATCAATCAGTTTAAAAATTTGGCTTTTGCTTTAAGGATTAACATTCTGTGTTTTTTTTTTTTTTTTTTTTTTTTTGTACTGGGGATTGAACTCAGGGGCACTTGACCACTGAGCCACATCCCCAGCCCTATTTTGTATTTTATTTAGAGACAGGGTCTCACTGAGTTGCTCAGTGCCTTGCCTTTGCTGAGGCTGGCTTAGAACTCACAATCCTCCTGTCTCAGCCTCCTGAGCTACTGAGATTATAGGCATGCATCACTGCACCCGGCCAATATTCATGCTTGTACTTCAATTCAGGTATATCTAAGAGGTGGCATTAAAACCAGTATCAGGAGTTTAAAATGTAAAATAACATCTGAAGAACAGATACAAAATATAGACTATTGTGTTTGCCTAATCTTATAGTTCTCAAACTTTTGATCTCTAGATCCCCTCTTTCTACTCTTAACATTTATGGGGATCCGGATGCCAAAGCACTATTACTTAGGAGATTTATATCTATCAGTATTTACCATATTAAAAAATAAACTGGAAAAAATTAAGTATAATTCACTTAAAAAATCATTATGTGCCAACATAAATAAATAATATTTTGATGAAAAATAGCTGTGATTTCTAAAACAGAAAAAAGATGTGTGGGAAAACAGTATTGATTTACATTTTTTAACTCTTTGTTAGGAGAATGAGAGTGAAAAGTCAAATAATCTCTTTATATTATGATGAAAATTAGAAACCAAAGATCACCATGTAGTCATGGCAAAATTTGAAACAATATTATTGTTCCTGAGACCACTATCAAGATATCATCAGTTTTGGTCTATGGAAGCTGGGACATCTATTAACTAAACTCACATGTTTTATTTTCCTTTCCATTTCTAAACCTTGTTTGATTGAGTCGGCAATCATTTTTAAGTTGGCACAGCTTTGGTATAGACCAGAGTATAGCAAGGGTTAGGCAACAGCTCACATACTCAGACTGGGAAGATGTTAGGCATTTAAGGAGATGCCTGTTCTATTTCTCATTATGTGAAAGCTCTGATCAATTTTTGGGAAACAGAGGGAGAAAATTCTCCCTGAAGCACAATAATAATACCAGAATCTCACACTTGGATGGCTCTCCATGTTGGAGAAATTATAATAAGCACAATCTCAGTTGATCCTTTTTTTTTTCTTTCTGAGCCTGTTCCTTCTGCTTCAAGGGAAAAATAAAAACCCTGCATTTTAAAAAAATCGAATGAAAATACAAAATGAAATGGCAACAATAATGAGATGTGTGTGGGACTGTAACTAGATTTAGTGTGCACCTGCCACAACATGTGTCTTGTAGTCTTTTTTCACCAACTGAAGGGCAATGTAAAAACCACAGTTTATAATTTAATGGCAAGTGGTCTTGTAATCATCTTCAGGCAAAGACTTCAGACTGTACAAAAACATTAAGAATTGCAGAATTTTTATTTTAATTGAACTCATGGGTGCTTGAAGATTTTGTGGTGGTAGGAGAGAGTGAGTTAATAGTACAGTATAAGGCAACAAAATTGCAAGAAGAAAATAATTACTGCCTCCCCCCAGGAACAAGGACTAATTGGTATCTATTGCCTGTTATTAATACATTTATCCTCCTTAGAAATTATTCCATTGCCAGGAAATCCTCCCCACCAAGATATTAATAAAAATAGCATGAGACATTCAAAGATGCTAGACAAAACATTTAAAGGCAGGGGTGGGTGGTGGGTGGTAGTCAACCAAGAAGAAAATCTCTAGTACAAAATGTGCCAGATACCACTAAGGAGCAAAGATTTTGTTGCTAAAACCCTTTAAGTACTGCATGTACATGCTCTCTTTATCTTTTTCTGAGATGTTTCTAAAATGGAGAATGACTCCATACTTTTTTTTTGCTCTTTTAAGGTAGATGAAGAAATAGATTAACAAAAACCCGTAAGAATTAGGAAACATGCTAAGTACATCCTTTTTGCAAAACTCTGCACCATGTTTATGGCTATGTATGACAAATTCTTGGTGCCCTTTTTTTCCCCAGTTATGGTGAGTAATGCTGTCTTTACAGGTGATTTAGATAGAAGTTAATGGATTTTTAAGACAGTTGCAAATATACTGGGTTGATGCACACACATGGATATATGTATATGTGTGTGTGTGTGTGTGTGTGTATATACAGACACACACACACACACACACTTACATACATACATATACATATATCACATGAAGACTCTCACTGGTATGTTTTTCCTTTTTCACATATTTCCTCTAGCAAAAATGATCATGGATAATGATTTTGTGATAGGAAACAAAACTAAAGAAAATCAAACCAGTAAGAATGAAGTGGTATACTGAGTCTAATAAAATAAGTCAATACACATTTATGTAGTGGTAAAGTGCTAGAAAGTTCTTTCATTAGTATTTTAAAAAATGATTAGAATAAAAAGAAGTTTGCAGCTTCATTTGATGGTGGTGACCACAGGCACCATAGCTATGGCACTGGCTGAGCTGGAGTTGACTATGTCCTCATATTCAGGGGGTGGATCTAAATGAGGTTCTGTTTCACTCCTCCGCAGGTTCACCTGGCCAGTGGCTTCCTCATAGGTTGGTGGGGGATCACAATTGGACAGGCGAGTGGAGACAGAATCTGAGCGCCCAACTACATATTCCAGAAAGCCTGGAGACAACCCAGTGCTCTCGAACACTTCATCTGGTGGGGGAGGTGGAGTGATGATGTTAAGGTGCTGAGGGAAAGGAATGTGGCTTTCAGTCACTGTCTGTCTACGAGTTTTGTTTCTTAGGAAGCATCTCCAGATAAGGAAAATGACAAGGAGGATAATGAAGAGGCCAAAGATTAGTGGAAAGGTAAGATAAAACTGAAACCAGTCACTTCCTCTGTTACTCTCTCCTTGTTGCGCTTTTGTGTAGGTACTCCAAAACTCCTTCTGAAAATACAAAACAAAAGAAGTCAAGTCAGTATGAGTGTGATCAAGAGATGGGAGATATCACATGAGCAAATCTCTGGGTTCAATGAATGTCATGAACAAAAGACCAAAACCAGACTTGTTGGTTTAAATAACTCACAGCCTGTATTTTCCATGACAAGAAATTACGAATATAGAAAAACGTTGACTTAGGATGGGGTGATGTCCCAATAAGCCCATCATAAATTGAAAATATCATTAATTTGAAAATTCTTGTAATAAACTAACCTACTGAACAGCATAGCTTAGGATCACAGCACAATGTGGAGTCCTGGTTGCTTGGCTGTTTGCCCTGGATATTGGGGGCTGACTGGGGGCTAAAGCTCCCTGCTGCTGCCCAGGATGGAGAGAGAGTATTTTACCAAATAGTACCATCCCAGGAAAATATCAAAATTCAAAATTTGATGTATGATCTTTATTGAATGCCTATCCCTTTCACCATCACAAAGCTGAAAAATTCAAAGTCCACCATCAGTAATTGGGGACCATCTATACTTCATTGTGCTTGACCTGGATCCTCCTTAAAATACTCAGACACCAAGACTCTTTTTCAAAACTTGGAGATATTTGCATTTTCCGCTATGACATTTTAGATTAAAAAAATCAGGAATGAGGATTTTTCTCCTTTTCAGATTATACCAAATAGTTTATCATTAAAAATATAAGTTAGGGCTCAGTTGGTAGAGTATTTGCCTTGCATGCACAAGGCCCTGGGTTCAATCCCCAGCACCACAAAAAAAAAAAAAAAATGTCACTATCCATATCCAACTTGAGGTCCTCATCACATGATCTCCATCATCATTAATAGTGTGTGTTTAGGCAAGCACTCTACTACTCCATCCCCAGGCTTTGCCTCTATTTTTCCATGCTTAATCATAGTCAATAAGTACTTTTCTTACCATCTGTTATTTATTTGCAGGTGCAACAGGTCACTAATATTATTTAAATCTTTTTGCATCGAGGGAGGAACCCTTGGAATCCAACTTAGAAAAAAAAGGAATTGTAGAAGGGATTTTGATCATTACCCAAATGGGCAAATTGAGGGAGTTTGACTACATCAGAGATTTTAAACTCAGTTGTTCCATGGGTACAGTAGTGATGCAAAGTCATAGTATTCTACCCTGCAACTAGATCTTCTCTGAGGGGCATTATTACTACAACATTTTGTGATTCTAAGATGCATTGGGATGTGTTTTGAGAAATATTGTGTGATTTACGAGAGGCTTGTGCATATTTCAAAAGATATACTTAAAAATATACAAGTTTCAATATTAAAATAAGCCCCAAATAGAAAAAGTATACCCTGTGTACTTTTCAATTTCTAAAGATGATTAAAGATGTACAAACAGTTTCTAAAGATGATTCCAAAAACTTGAAATTGTCAAATGACTCATTTACTTCATTACTATTAACAATGTAAACACAGGTGAAAACTTGTGAAATATAGATGGATGAAGACACAGATATATATTTAGTCATTCCAGAGTTAGAATCCGGGTATTGTGCATGCTGGGCAAGTACTCTACCAACAAGCTACATTCCCAGCATAAGCTTCTTTTAAATAAGCGTACTTTAAAAATTCTTCATTAATTCTTTTTATAATTGTCATCCTAATAATCAAAAATTTAAATTTTGTACAATAATGTTTAAAATGTAAAAAATAAATTAATCATACAAAATTTCACTAATGCAGAAAAAGATAAAACAGAAAGCAAATCACTTGTAATTTCATCACAAAGATATAATGTACTATGGACATTTTGGTTTACATAATTAGAAAAGTATTTTCATCTGCTCTTTCTGCCATGCTTTTGTCAATCATGGTTGCCTCCCTACACAAGTATCCACTCTTTACAAATTTGGAATCAAATTGCAATAAGTGGAATAAAAATATTAATCAGCTATTTCTAGAGACCTATCAAGTATCTTATACAGGCTCAATTTTCCTTTACCTACAGGTGAAATTTTACCCTCTTTCTTAGTCTCTCAGACCACCACAACCTTTGCTTCTATTTCATCTTATCTATGAATGCAAATAAATGTGATATCAAATAATTATATAATATTAACCCTAAATAGGCAATAAAAGTGGTCATTTCATATTATCCACATTGCTTTAGAATAACAAGCACTAATAATGCACATGAAAATGAGTCTTTTTTGCATGCCTGGATAGCATAATTCAGCTTGTCTGGTTTCTTTGGTAAGATGGGATATCAAAAATCTATAAGCTATTTTTCTGTTTCCTTTGGAAAAAATTAAGGAAAAATACATTAATTTTGAAGGGACTTATTAACCCAATTTTTATTTCACATGTAGCAACTCAGCATTTACTACATCAAATAATGCAGTTACTCTTATAATCCCCATTTTGCATGTGAGGAAATGGAGGCCCAAAGAGATTACGTAATAATAAACTCAAGATCATTTAAAATGTAAATTTTGGAGCTGGAGTTTGAGCCCAAGAGGCTTGGCACCACAGCAAACTAAAAAGCAGTCTGTCTTGATGTATAAGGTATTTCAAACCAAATTGGCCACTCTCCTAGAAAATTCAACCTTGCCTTCATGTTTGATGTGTAGTCAAAAGCAAGCCTGCTCATTTTACAGACAAAATATTTCCAATTAAAGTAACAATGATCTGAATAAAAAGCTCCTGACAGATTTATTTCTTTGGGAAATACTTATTTTGTCCTTAAGGTCAGAGGATCAGAAGAAAATTCACTTAAAATCAAGACTAATACTGTAATTGTCATTCAGACAAATAGATTCAGTTCATGTCTCTAAGCTATTTGCGCAGATCTTTATCTCACTGAAAGCAGCCAAAATTTACTTAGAGCAAATAAATTTCAACGTTTTAGTAGAACAGTGCTTTAGTAAGAATGAAAAACTGGTGGTTTATAGTTATGCTTACAGCAGCACAAATTTTGACATAGCCAATGAATAACTTCTAAATAATTAAAACATTTTATAGCAATCTACAGTACCATATCAAATATTTGTTTAATAAAGAAAAAAGTGATTAAAGAGAATCCAAAGTTTTAGAACAGGCTAAAGTTATACAAATGATAGACATGATCTGAAGCTGCCAGAAAGGTCGTGTTAGAAATACCCAAGTGCCTGCTCCAAAGTGGGTGGGCAAAGCAAACTTTACTTCTGCCAGAAAGGTGAGCTACAGAACCTGCCTAGCAGGTAGTCCATGGACTGAGCAGGCAGTCCATCTGTTTATATCCCTCACACAACACTGCCCTTCACCCTGATTGGAGGAGCATGGGGTTACAATCTACGTGATTAGCTAATTTTAAAATTGGGGCGGGCAAAGGGAAGCACTACAATTAAAACGCCTATAATTGAATCCAATGAAGGCTGAATACTATATTCTGAAAATGGACCACCAGACTTTCTGTTTCTCTCAGTCTGACAACCATTTCAGAAGGAGGAGTCCCAAGAGGCAGACCTTTCATCATGATACGGGAGTTATAGAACAAAATTCAGTAGATACAAGATTTCATCAAAGACTATCTGCTTCTCTTGTAGAGAATGTGTGCTTTTTTTTTTTTCTTGCTGCCATTTATGAATAAAATTTGAGAGGCTCAAGGCATGAAGGCCTGTTCTCCTAACTGGAAAGAGTAGAACTGAGCATATTTTTACCATATTTGATTAATCAGCTCAGAACCTGGGAAAGTTGGAAGTGAGTGATTTCCCTGTGAGTTTGTAGTGCTGAGAAGGGCCCAGCAGACTGACATAGAACAATTTCGTTGACTTCTTTCCTTGAACAATAATGACAGGGAAGGGAAGGGAAGGTACTAGGCTGAGTGTGGTGGCGCACACCTGTAATGCCAGCAGCTCGGGAGGCTGAGACTGGAGGATAGTGAGTTCAAAGCCAGCCTCAGCAACTTAGCGAGTCGAGTGCCCCTGAGTTCAATCCCTGCTACCAAAATAAAAAAATAAATAAATATAAAAAAGGAGGGGCTAAAAATGAATTCTAACTCCAAAAGCTGCTTTTGAAAACTATGGATTCCTTTTAATATCTCTTTTCTTCATTAAACAAATAATTTACTTGGTATTTAAAGTTGTTATAAGAATGTTTTAATTATTATAGACTGAAATGAAGAGTTCCAGTGAAATTGAGGACAACTTCTTCAGGCTGACAGTACAAGCTGGAGGGCAGTCCCTGCCCTGGCCTGGGGGACATCAAGGAAACTGAGAGTGCAGATCTCCCCTAGATCTCCCCTGTCCTAGGGCCTGTCTAGCATAGGCTAACTAAATCTGCATATGTTTATATTCCACCTTTTGTCTCATTTTGCTGCCTTTTCACTTTTAAAAGCTTTCCTTTCCTGAGAGCCTCCTGAAGATGGAAAATTTGAAACTAAAAGTTTCTTCTACCTTCCTTCAAAGCTGGTATTAGTGCCATCTGGTAACACTTTGTTGAGGGCAGAAAGTCAAAAGAACTGCAAGTTGGAAATCCAACCAAGAAGTCCAAAATTCTTCAAATTCCTTATCAAGAGAATTCTAGGGAAAACTGGCTGGACTTACACATAAGTCACCTAACAGGTATATCTAACTTCTGAGAAAATAGAATACTTGTAAATTAACACAAAAAGTAAGGTATTTTCGTGAAAACAGACACTAGGAGGTAGTGAAGTGTCTGGGAAACAGTATCTGCACTGGGTAGGTTTTGTGCCAACCCTTTTTAAAAAAAAAAAAAAAAAAAAAACAAACTTCCAGTTGAAATACAAACAGCTGGGGGATGAAGAAGAGGGGAAAGGCTGGCTTTGTCTTGTGTAGATTAATTTTGGGGACTTTATTTTTGCAAGGTGGCAGAGTACATAAAGTAAAACCTCTTTAATTTAGATATGATTATTCAGGACACTTGGATGAAACCAATCAAGGTGGTGGATTTGGTAGCTGTCTTGGTATACCAGGCAAAAGGAAGAATGCCAGGTCCCAAAATATCACTAGTGACTAGTATGTAAAGTTGATTGACTAGTATGTAAAGTTGATTGAGAGCCACAGCCGAAGGGGCCCCAGCAAACTTCCAGCTGCCAGCAAACTTCCAGCTGCCGGCTCACAGTGGCCCCAGCAACATCTAGCTGATTGGCTCCTCTGTGGTGATGCTCATTGGAGATGCTCATTGAGCTGTTTCCCCGCCCTTTCAGACTGCCAGCTGATGATTGGCTCACAGCTGCCCCAGCAACATCTAGCTGATTGGCTCCTCTGCAGTGATGCTCATTGGGCTGTTTCCCTGCCCTTTCAGACCACAGAGCTGCTCATTGGGGGACTTTTTTGGCTCCGCCCACACAACCCAGCCAATCCGGCCTCAAGAGCAGGAGGATGGGGGGAGGTAGTGAGGCTTATGGTGGAGGGAGAGGCTTGTGGGAAGCCGGTGGTGGCAATTGGGGCTCTGAGGGTTTTTCCTGAGGAGCTGTTTTGTTTGGCGTGTGTGGTTCTAAAAATAAAGTTAGTTTCTTTTGACAAGTGGCTCCTGATTGTGCCCAGCCAGACTGTGGCATTTGAGGAAAATTAGCAAGGTGAAGGAGCCGCTCTATCAATGAGGCTACTGTTTGGGTAAAGTGTGTGTGTGGGGGGCATATGTCCATGCATGCTATATAAAACAAATGGATGTAAGACTGTACAGAAAACTTCTGAGGAAGTGCATGCTTATAATCACAGGGGCTTGGATGCTGAGGCAGGAGGATCACAAGTTTGAAGTCAGCCTCAGCAAACTAGTGAGGTCCTAAGCAATTTAGTGATACCCTGTCTCAAAATTAAAATAAATAAATAAATAAATAAATAAAAAGGGCTGGGGATGTAGCTCAGTGGTAAAGCAACTCTGGATTCAATCTGCAGTACCAAAACCAAACAAACAAAAACAAAACCAAAAGTGTCAGCAAACATTTTCTCTTAAGAACCTGACAGTACTTTGGACTTTGTAGAACAAAGTCTCTATCATACATATGAACTCTATTGCTGTTGCATGAATACAGCAATAGGCAAATGGACATGCATCTGTTCTAATGAAACTTTATTCACAAGGCCAGATGGGCTGGATTTGGCTTCTATACCATGTTTTTCCAACTCATGTTTGTGATAAAACAAGTGGGTTTTTAAACCACTTATGGAACAGAATGATTAAAAGTGTGTGTCTATGAAACAAATGGAAACAAAAAAAGGTATCCAAATCTCTTTGGATATTTGTTGGTTCATTAATAGCTGTTGAGATATTCTAAGTGTTTGGTTCAGTATGTGCATGAGGGCAGAGTGAATCAGTTGTTTAAGTTTGAAAATCAGTATTATTTTTTAGCATCCTAGGTTATCCCAGGGTTGACAGCCAGTCTGCTAAAGAATGCTTCACAAATGTCATTGAGCATACTCATTATTTGAACTTTCTTTGAAGGTAGATTCTGAATCAGCAGGTCTGGGATAGGGCTTGACATTTTGCATTTGTTTAAGCTCTCTGGTGAGGTTCACGCTGTTGGTTCACAGACCATTCTTTGAGCCACATGATACTAGCATGCGTTTTCAATGATTCGAATACCTCTGTCCATCCCAAAGGCTTATGCATTCGGTCTGGGAGGAGACCAGGCACTGAGATTTTTCAAAGGTGTTCCAGAAGACTCTATGTGTACCAGAGCTTGGGAACCTTCACACTAAAGCTCATGGTGCTTTATCAGTTGTAGTTTTCATTAGACACAATATTGCTTCCTTGTCTTCATTCTCTCCCCACCCCTGACCACCCATTTCTCTCCTTTTCAGATCCAAATATCCAAACAAATGGGCAGCAGAGTTAGCACTTCATTCTCCTCTCCATCTGTGCTGAGTGAGGAGAAAGTTCAGAATGGAACTGGGAGGCTCAGGCACCAGGCTTTTGGGAGGAGAAGCACAAGTTGTTCTAGAGGTGATTTCACAGGAGGGCAGGTGGAGACAGAACTAGGGTGATAACCATGGAAAACTACCACAGCAAAACTCACCTACATTACTGGGCCTGGGTTTGGGGCAGGGCAAAGAGCAATCCACCCTCCTGAGTCAGTTGGCACCTGATAACCAAAGCAGTCTCTATGGATTTTCCCTTCTCAGTAGGCAGGGTGACATAGTGGATAGAAATGCAAGAGACCCCAGGGATGAGGGATGGATGTGAAATGTCTTCCTCAAAGAATAGACATCACAAAAGAACCTAGAAGTGATGAATTTAAGATGACAGTAGTGAAGCTGATGACAAAGGATGGCTAACATGTACAGTGCTTACACTGTGCCAGACACTCTTCTAAGAGACTTACATACCTTAACACAAAGGGTTGGATGCTTTTATTGCCCCTATTTTACATTTGGGGAAATGGAGACACAGATAAGCTAAAGGCCGAGTCCATCTAAGAGGCTAAACAGGCATTTGAACATAAGGAATGTGAGGTTCAGAAACCACTAGAGCAAACTGCCTCTCCAAAATGGAGATATAGGAAGGATCCACAGTGAACAATTTTAAATACTCACCAATAGATGACTGTTTTGCTCTTCCTCATATGTAGGAAAAAATTGTATATTGACATATGCACATATGAGAGAGAAAGAGAAGGGACTGAGTTTCTCAAAGCAACCAAAAGAAATACAGTGAGAAGAGGCAGTTAGATTAAGATTAGAGAAAGGACATTGAACACTTTCTGAAAGCTCAAATAGCCACCATCCTTGTTTTGAAGAAAGTGCTAAAGTACAATCAAGAAATGTGAAAGGTAATTGCTAAATCTGTTCACATTTTACTCACAATTCAAACCAGTCACTTAGCTATAAAACACTCCAACTACCCATGTAACTTTGAATACTGCATATGAAATATGTAATTATTCTGTTTTCTTTGTAATCCACAAGTAGAAGAGAAGGCTTCCAGGCCTTCATCCTCAGACTGAATTGCACCCAATGGTCCCTCTTGTTCTGAGGCATGCCAGCTCCTTGGACTGAGTAACTACTTGTTTCTCCAGCTCTCCAGCCTGCAGATGGCCATTGTGGGGCTATCCAGCTTCTGACTGTGTAAGCAAATATAATAAATACCATTTCATGTTTCTGTTCTTCAGGATAACCCTAATACCATCTACTAACTGGAATTGAGGCCTTAACCTCAACTTCTCCTGTCCCTGTACATTATTCCAAGCTGCTAGAATCATAAATATACCATTCAGGATGACTTATTCTTTTATGTTCAGTATCAGGGGTATGCCCTACATACTTGGCCTTGTATTTTACAGTCCTTCTATGAGATAATGTAGATATATTTGGTACCAGGTCACTTTAATGGAAGAAAGGATACACTTGGGGAAAAAAAACCCCAGAAGTGCAAGTATTTGAGGGTAATATGTATACCTTTCATTAGTGACCAGAGTAAGTCACCTTGTGTCTACGGGGAAGCCTGGCTAAGGCATAGATAGTCCTTTTATCACTGCAGTCTACTGTGAGCTGGTCAAAGAAGTACTCTGACATTCAACTTTCCAGGGCTCTCATCTTGTTACCCAGACTCAACAAATGTTAAAGATTTACATTCTGGTAAGCTAAAAGTTTTCAGGTAAGTTAAAGATTCCTTTATTTCAATATATGCTCAATCCCATTCCCTTCACTTTTCTCCAGAGGCACCAAGTTCCTACACTTTTATCCAGCAGTGAATAACCACAAAGACCCCATGACATCTCCCCACATGGTCCTATTCCTCTTGCACATATTGTTTATTTTTATTTTTTTTTAATATTTATTTATTTTTTTAGTTATCGGCAGACACAACAACTTTGTTGGTATGTGGTGCTGAGGATCGAACCCGGGCCGCACGCATGCCAGGCGAGCACGCTACCGCTTGAGCCACATCCCCAACCCGCACATATTGTTTATAAGGGAAGATTAATTTTGTGTTTTCCAGGGGCTCCTGGTATACCTTTCCTCTTTACCCATGGAGATTCTGAGTAGCTTGTGGATGGGACAAGGGTGGGCAGAAAGAATCCTGGATACGCAAAGATCTACCCTCATTCTGGAAAAGTGAGAGTTTCTCTTTCTGTCTCTCTATCTCTCTCATACACACATACACACACACACACACACACACACCAACAGAACACCTTTATTTCATTAAAAACCAAATAAATAACTTTATTGGAAGTAACAATCAAACTGAAAGGCCCAAACTGAAGGGAACTTGCTGAAAGGGCAACGTGTAGGCCTGGCCTGGGGACCCACCCGGGGGGTGGCATGGGCTGGGCACAGTTCTGCTCAGTCGTCCTTGTAGCTGCGGCCCAGGGTGAGCCTGTCAAAGAGGATCTCGGCCATGGGGTCTTCCAGGGCCTGAATCCTGCGCAGGTTGGTCAGGTAGCCGGCCAGCTCGCGGATGATGAGGACCTGCTGGTGCAGATAGTGGCGCTGCAGGAACTGGCAGAGGTGGGGGTCGCCCCTCTCGGCGGCCAGGTGGTGCAGCTCCAGGAGGCCCCGGTTGAGGCTCTTCTCCAGGTGGAAGGCGCACTCCATGGCCTGGAGGCCGCTGTGCCAGGCATTGCGCTGGGGCTGCTCCACGTCGTGGAGCCGGATGTGGCCTCCGCGGTGGTTCTGCAGCTCCATCAGCTTCTCGGCGCGGTCCCTCCACTCGTGCGACAGGCGCAGGAAGAAGTTGCCGAAGTGCTCCAGGGCCACTTGTGGGCGGTGGCAGAAGAAGGCCAAGGACACGTAGACGTAGGAGGCGTGCAGCTGCACCTGGATCTGGCTGTTGACGGCGGCCTCGCAGTCGGGGTGGTAGTTGTGGCGCACCTGCCACACCATGACGGGCACCATGACGGGCGCGGGCAGGAGGGGTGCCACCATGAAGGCGAGGGCGGAGCGGGCTCTGGGGCCGCGCAGTGGGCAGCGGCGGCCACCGCCGCGGTAGCGGCGGCGGGGTCCCCGGGGCGCTGCCAGGGTGTCTGAGGGCGGCACCTGGGGCAGTGGGGGGGGGGCGGTGGGCGATGCCGGGGCCTGGGCGGGTCTGACCTCTGCGGAAGGCAAGCGGGTAATGGCGGCTGTGGAGCCTGGCAATGGCGGCGGTGGCGTGTTCCTGGGGGTTGAGGGTCAGGGGTCAGGGGCCTGGCGGTACCCGGCTGTGCCCTGCTGTGCCCCGCAGAGTTCCCTCAGTAACCAGGGCGACCCCGCTGGGCGTCTCACCTGCGTAATGTTTAAGTTAGAGGCCTAGAGGGACGGGCATCGTGGTAATCGTGGTCAGGTATGAAGAGGCTCATGTGAATACTGTCCAGTGGGACCCTCTCATTAGATGGAGGGCTTCTGGGACGGTTAATATCACAGGCTTCATTTGAATGGCAGCTTTCCTCAGTGACGTCAGTGTCTAGACTAACGTATCTTCATAAGGATGGTCAAGCACCGTGTTCAGTCCTTTGGGTCCTGAGTACATCAGCAACAGAGGAGACTGCACTGTACGGTCTCTAGTGCATTTTAAATTTGCAGTAGTATTTGCAGTGTCTGGGGATTTTCTATTGCTCCTTTTTATCATAATTTGTTTTCATTTTAAAAGTCAATGGTCTTCCTTATAATTCTGAGAATATGAATTTGAACTTTTTTTTTTTTTGTAAAGTTCTGTTCACTATATTATATCTGTTTTTTCCCCCCTCCAGAATTAGCTTTTTGGTTCACCATGATCTCCTCTTCAGTCCCTGAAATATCTGGCCCAACTTTATCCATTCATATCTGGGAATCAAGGACTACTTGGATTTGTCCTAGGGAATGAGCATGAGTCTGATCCATAGTCGTTAAGACTTGTAAGGCCCACTTCACTAACAGACTTCTCTTCTCCTTTGGGGATGCATGGGATGGAGGTTGCAGGTGGGCTAGGGATCATCTCAATTCCAAAATTTGGGCATATCCAACATTAGAAAGCTTTAGTGGATCTGTCTTCTAGGTAATATGTGCTTCTATTTTGTGTCCCTTCGGTTCAGTTCCTCAGTTGTCTCAAGCTCTAGTGTTACTTGGGTTTTCTTTCAGGTCAAAGAATTCAGGGTCCTTGCAGTGTAGCTTTTGGCGATTAAAGTTGACCAAATGTCATTGGTGCTCATTATCCACTTTAACAGATTTGGTCGAGGGTTATAGCAAGGCAGGGGAAGCAGGTCTGCTGTTTAGAGAGTAATTCTTTTTTTTAAAGACTTTTTTTAAAATTGTAGATGGGCACAATACCTTTATTTTATTTATTTATGTGGTGGTGAGGATCGAACCCAGTGCCTGTCACATACAAGAGAAGTGCTCTACCACTGCGTCACAACCCCAGCCCTAGAGAGTAATTCTTTAATCTCACAGTTGACCTAGGTCTTCAATTTTATTGACTCTCCCTTAAATTTTCTCTGAATGTGCTTCAGTTAGTTTTCTGTTGCAAGGGTTTCATTTTTTTTTTAAACAAAGCAATGTGATGATATCTCCTTTTCCATCTTCTTAGAATTCCTAACAAATTTTGTTAATGGTAAGGGTACTCTTTTGTGTGTGCCTGTATGTGTGTGTGTGTAGATACTTTTTGTGTGTTTAGTCACTACCATGATTCCATTACCATTTTTTAAATTTCTAAAAATGCAGGCTGGTGTACGGTTTAGTTTAGAGTTCCTACCTTGTGTATATGAGGCTCTGGGTTCAATCCACAGTACTGTAAGTAATCATTTTTTTTCTAAAACTTCAGATAATTTTCTGAATAGTTAATATATTCACATGATTCGAAAGTGATACAGCCCTCCTCTCTAGAGGCAACCAGTAATTGCTTGTTAAGATCACAAAAAGAAAGACTAAAAAAGAAATAATACTCAAGTCATAGATGAAATGAACTACAAAAAGCTAAGTGATAAACACACAAATCAAGCAGAAGGAAGGAAGGAAGGAACTGGTTTTTAAAAGGAGAATGCAGTAAATTAGAGGGGGTGGGAGGGAGAAAAGCAAAATTCCTGATATTAAAAAAAAAAAAAGATAACTCTCAAGACGACTTGGTTAGGAAAAAAGACACAAATTACCAATAGGAATAGTAATGAAAGAGAAGGCATTACTATAGATTAAAAAAGAACAATACTACTATGTAGTAATTGGGTATATATTCACTCCTAAAAATTGGGGTTCTCTTGTCAAGGAAGAAGAGGTAAAATCGGTTTTAGATCAGTAATCAAAATTTTCTGCTGTCTTTGTCAGGAATACAGAATATATTAATTCAAGAAACTGCTTTCTTTTCTTCCCAGGGGTAGTAGTGGTAGGGCAATCAATGATTAAATTGCAATGAGCCCAGAATTTGTAGGGTAATGAAAATGAGTAGTACAAGAGATGATAGTATGAAGAAGGCAGAAGAAGGCAGGGGTCCACACTGGAAAAAATATCTCTTTGTGGTTTCAGTGATGCTAAAATCTCTGATAGATAATTGTTTATCTGTTTTGGCTAGAGTTTGCCCTGAGTTTAAATATTTTAAATTAGAAACAAGCAAACTAAATGGAACATTTCTAGTGAAAAAACTAATATAAAAGTCTGGGTTTATTCAGAATTATAATCTTTTACTCATTTATCCCATTTCACTTATTAGCACAAACCTAGATCTTTATAATATAATCTGTACTTCAGCATAATAAAAAATTAATCTCGGGCTGGGGATGTGGCTCAAGCAGTAGCGCGCTTGCCTGGCATGCGTGCGGCCCGGGTTCGATCCTCAGCACCACATACGAACTAAAAAATAAATATTAAAAAAAAATTCTCTCTCTCTCTCTCTCCCTCTTTCTTTAAAAAAAAATTAATCTCTGTAGTATTGAAAAAGTATGATACTTTAGATAGGACTATTTGTTTATCATCTTGCTACCTCTTTATACTTATAATGATATTTATACTACTAGACTAGACTTATACTGAAACTCTAGACTTATAATGAAACCTCATCATTTTATTTAACTGAAAGATAGCTCCTTTGAAATGATATCATCATCAAACCTCATAAATTCAACATTGTCTAAGAGTTTAGGTTGCTACTTCTCAGAAAATAGTAGATCTCAGTTCACGTCTATGTTCCTTTCAAATTGGTCCAATTACATTGCAAGATCTATTAGGTTTCTTTCTTGTCAAGACATCTTTGTGTTTCAAGTGTGTCAACAACATATACTGCTGGTAATTAAAAACCATGAGTTCCAATTCCAGTTAGAAATTGTATCATTGGTCTTTATGGCACACAAAATACTGGTTTAAAGATGGGAAAATATCACTTTGTCTATCCCAGTCAATGTTGTTCTGAAGCATTTTTAAAGCATATTTTTAAAGTCATAAAAATAAGCTACATCCAAGTACTAGCCAGCACTTTTTCTATCATATTGACTTTGAATAAGTATTATGGGATGTACATTTACAAATGCCTAATTAGGACTAGAATAAAAAACTTGAGGGTAAAATTGTTTATTGTAAAGCTCCTAGCATAACCATTACCAATTAAATTAGAAGAGCATTTTGTTCATTGAGGAAAGAGAGGAAGAAGGAAGTGGGGAAGACTCAGAATTAGGAGACATAGAACCTGGGTCCCATTTCTGACTTTATCAGTATCGTATAATGGGAAAAATAAGCAAATCAACAACTGCTCTGGAGCTGTTATTTCCTCATTTATGAAATGAAGAGTTTGACCTACTTGGTTTTTGTAGACCCTGTGAGAAGATGATTAAAGCTTACTTCAAAGAGTCTTTTGTCAATAATGGAATGGTATGAAAAAGCAGTCTTTAGCCTATTCATGGTAAGCAATGCTTGGCATCAAATATTAGCTTTGGGAATTATATTATCTTGACATTCAAATAATAGTGTCATTTTAACATTTTAACCCTCTAAACATATAATTCAAGAAAGCCAGTACCCTCTTTGGATCTACTGGTGCTTGTGTTGCAGTAAGGGATACATTTCCTATTTCAGCCTGATGGTCCCTAAGACTTGAGCTAATGATATAGGTCTATAGTAGGGTTCCAAAAATTATTTTGCAACTGATTTTATTGTACATTGGAAGTGGCTAGACTAAATCTTATCTTCTACTATTACTGATATTCCAACTATGAGAGCCATGGTCAGATGCCCTGGCTCAAGGGGACCATATCCTAACACTAGAATAAAGAATCACTGACAACCCCCAGTATTAAAGGGATTGGCAGCCACCTATTGTAACAGAAATTCATTTCCAGTAGTGTCCTCATCCACATTAGAATCTCTGGGAGTAAGCAGGGGTGGTAATTGGTTGCTGTCCTTTGGCAAATATGCCATGAACTGAAAAGGATACCATTTTTATATATTGAAAAAGAAAAAAAGTCAATTATTAATTAAATTTCAATTAATTCATGATATATCATTGTTTGTAAACTGCATATCAATTTCAGATAAGTTAAAATGTGAATAAATGAAATATTTATTAGGTTTTATCATCCACTGATCTGGATACATTTATCAAAATAGCTATACTTTGTTTTTTTTACTATTCATGATTATTTATAATATTGGTAATTTATTTATGGCTTCAATTAATAGTGTACACTGTCAGTTTTACAGTATGATGTACAAAGACAGAAACTATCAAAAATTGTAAAAATTAACATTTTCTGTTGGCTATTGTATTATTTTGCATTTCAGTGATATTATAGAATAAATTGTTATTTCCTATTTTTTTTCCTTTTCCTTTTTTGCAAGGAGAGGTTCAGTGCATTATGTTTAGGAATATGATGTGTTGGGTGACAGGTTGCCCCCTGTTCTCTGGATTCCTAGCTAACCTTCTCCCAGTGGCTTGGAAGGCTGAGACAGGAGGATCACAAGGTCAAAGCAAGCCAAGTTGC